TTGTACTTAAGTGCATGAAAATCGGAAGTTAAGCTTTAGGCTACGGCAAGCACCGTGAGGCGGCAAGATTACATGAGAAATGCTTTCTGCTGAAGAATATTTTTGGGGTCTTTTTCTCCCTGCAGGAGAGCCACACAGAAGAGCATGAAGGTGAAGAGCAAGTCCATGAACAGCCCCAGCAGCAGGAGGAGTACTGACTCACCCAGCGTCTCTGACAATTTTCGTTTTGTGTGAGAACTTTCTTCTGGAGAACGGAACATGTGTGGCCTCAAACTTGAAATCAGTTCACTCCCAGTCTGCCATTAACATTTATGTACCATAGTGAGTGCCAGCCAACCACTGCATTCTGTACCCATACTTTGCCAAGATGCATTTGCAGACGTCTTCTTTCAGTGTATCTTCCCAAGAGGTTGTAGGGGTACATCACCTACTGTACATCACTGCAACTTCACCACTTGGCTGCTTGAGATTTGTTCTGCTCTTTAAAAAAAAAAAAAAATATTTATTTTTTTTCTTTTTTGTCTTAAGTATGATACACTTGTAACTTGTTCTAACATATTTATATTGGCATTTTGTGTGGCAAGAAGTACCGTACCACTAGCTGTGTCTCTCACTTTGTGGTGCTTTCACGTTTTCTAGTACATCTGCCTTGGGGCATAAATTCGGTCAGACAATTGGAATAAAGGGATACAGTGGAAGTCATACTCAAGCCATAACGATGAGGTGTGCTGTGGAGGAAAACGCTCGTGTTGCTCACATTTATTCCTTTCCTGCCTTCACAAAATGGAAGGCAGAGCATCTGTTTTACTAGAAGAGATTTAAATCCCTGTGTTAGAAAGCTTGTTAGAAAGCTGCATGGTATGTTTTTTGGCTTATTTATGGAGGAACAGACATTCACTTAAGCTTTTTGAAAACCCTCCCAGTTTCCCAACTAGTCAATACACATTTCCTAGCTTTTCTTCCTTCCTGAGGAATCCAGTCCCAGCCTCCAGCTTCAGCTCTGCCTCCACAGAGCTCAGTGCTCATGGAGGAGAGAAATCTCCTTGACACAAGTGTAGCTGCAGGACACGATCTCTGCCATCGTATTTGGCTTCCCATCCCTCAGAAGAGGACACACTAGGCCAGCCATTTCTTTTTGCTATCCTTCCCCCCTCTGCTGCCCCGGCCATACAAGTATGGAAGACAGAAAATTTCCTCATTAGTGCAAGGCACGGGGAAAAACCGGCAACAGGACTAGCCCTGAACCCCCCCCAAACTCCCCTTAAGTGGGTGGTGGACACCTCGTGGGTGTTGAGGCTGCTTCCGAAGCACGGAGAGGCAGTGAGGAGTCCTTCTGGAGACGGAGCACATATCAGAGGGGGACCAGCTGACCGAGGGGCACAGAGCCGGTTCTGCGCTTGGCTGACCTTCCTCTGGCGAGGCTGGCACGGTGCAGAACCACGTCTGCCCTGGAGATGTCTGCAGTGAGAGTGTTCCTTCCAGTGCAGTCCCATCGCCCTGTTCTAAGTGATGGTATTTTATAAACAGAAGCATCTTGAAGTGTATAAAGCATTCCTTATTTTTCTCATAAAACTGTGCATTGTAGTCTCTCTGAATATTTAATGCTTGGTATTCTTGATCTCTCACTTGATTTTCTGAATTCTGGATTGTTATGCTGATTTAGCAGGTACATGGAAGTCCCATCCCAGTCAGCAATCACTGAAAAACTCCAAAGCCTATTGAACAGCTAAATCATCTTAGACCTTCACGTGCTCCTAAAGCATAAGTTCCCAGCTTATGCTTCCATAGAAAGGTTTTCAATTAATCTACCCCCAGCACACACACACATGCACGCGCAGTTTTCTGTCCTAATCGATCTTTTACAGCTAAGTGGCTCTTAGTTAAATGTGAGATCCCTGCTGTTGTGTTGCACCACAGACAATATATAAAATACTGCTAAGCATTAGAACAGGCATTTCCAGTTCCTTGATTGCTCCCCCTGCTCAGCAGAAGAGTTTCTGGACCCTGCAGGCTGCAGGTTTCCCAGCCCTGCCTCCAGCATCGACCTCGCGTCCTACCTGGGGATGAAGTGAAAGTACTTCAGCCTGCAGGCCAGCGCTTTCCTCTCCCGTTTCGATTGGTTACGAATAAGGTCTGGTTTATAAAAATGTGTATATTCCAGAATGAGTATTTCCAAGAATCACCACAAATGGGGGAATTGTCATTTTCATTGTATTTGTGTTTAGAACATATGTACTTACTACAATTGTCATTGTAATAAACGGTAGTTCTTCATAATACTGTTGAACCGAAGAGCAGTTACTAATTTTTTTCCAGTCTCCAGAATGTCCTTTAACCTGTATGGGATTTCTGATGGGGCAAGGAGTTTGGGATCAGGCTATAAACTTAATTTCATCAGCGCGAGTCTCTGCTTACGGCAGTTCATCCTTCTGCTAATACTCGAGCAGACGCGTGGAGAGCACTTCAAGAGAAAATGTTTTTCTGAAGGTGCAAATGGTTGGGTTGCTGAGCTCCCCGGAGGGTTCATAGCCAGGCTGTTGTGCCTCTCTCCTTTTCTCTCTTTGAAGCACATTCAAAAAAAATGTTTAAAAAAAGCTGAACTTCATTTCCTGAAAATTCCTTATACCCTATTTCTGGTCTGAGGACCATAGCCCTCTCTGCTTGTACCAAGGGGGAAGTGACTGACGTAGGGAGCCGGGGCAGTGAAGTACCTCGTAGGCACTAGAAATTTGGCTGTGCTGAGGGGAGAGCGATGCTCTGAAAGGGGAAAGAGTTGTCCTTCTCCCCCACCCCCTGTGAGTAACCCATTATTCCGTTATGGTTTTAATATGCATTTGTAATTACCTTTACTAAATAGCACACCATAAAGCTTTGGTTATATATTAAATGTAAACTGAAAGGAATGTAAACATATGTATTGTTAATTATAAATAGATAAGTAATGGCATAATAGATACAAAAAGTCTTATTCAGATGTATCAGTCATTTTACATTATCCGCAAATTGTCGCATGGTAGAGTAGATTTTTGTCTGAATATGTGAATAACTTGACTTGCGTTTATCTTTTTACATATTTAATAAAAAAATATATGTTAAAATCTGTCTAGCTCTAGAGACTATTCGAAACATTCTAAAATAATACTTTTCTGGTTTAAATACATATTTTTGTTTCATTAGTGACCGCATATGGGAGCAGGAAGAAAAAGGCAGCTGCTTTAAAAAAAAAAGTTCACTTATTCTGTGTGTGTGGGTAGTATCTGCTTCCCCACGAGCTCAGCAACTGTATCCCCTTCTACAAATCAAAAAAGAAAATGCATGTATGTATGTGCATGTAAACAGAACATTCTTCTTTATGGTAAATGCTCTGCAATTTCAGAGTACCAAATCTCTTGTTGTATCTCAGTTTTGATACAGCAAAAGCAAAACTCACAGCAGCCAGGAGGTGAAGAGAATACTATAGGAAGGGCACTGAAGCTCCCAGTGGTCTCTTCTTGCAATGGCCAAGTATTCAGGGATGAATCTTCAGTGCAGTACTTAAAAGCCACCTATATTTTACATTAAAATATTAGTTTTTTGGAAGAAAAGGGGGAAACTTCACTGTAATTCTCACAGCTCTGATCTTTTGCAGCATGACCAATGTTGCTGCAGTAGTTGCTGCTAAATCTCCAGGGATTTGAGCCTTGGGTCAGGACCTCTTTCTGCCGTGGGTTGAAGCTACCTGGTTGTGTCCCACCACCAACAGGTCAGCCTGAGCCCTCCCACTGCCTTCAGGTGTCCCCGGGGCTGGGGCTGAGCCGCTGCCCAGCCCCACTTCAGGAAGGCTTCTGATGGAGCAGGGAGGATGAAGCCAGGACCAGAGGAGCCCATTTCCAATCCTTGTGCTCAAACCTGGGAGAACAGTGCTAGTTTAGTTGATTTTCAGAAGGCTAGGGGGGAGGCATGCATTTGGGCTAGTGCGAATGCTCAACAGCATAAAAAAAAAGTAATATATTTTCCAGTTCAAATAGCTGAAAACTTTCTGCCACGATGTTGTGACCAAAAAAAATTGTTGTTAGACTGTTAGGTCATCTTCATGCTGTTATCTGACTTTGCAAAATAAATCTGTGACCACACCGCCCTATGAACAAAGCATTTTTATTCCCGTTCATCGAACCAGTTACCATCTAAGACGGCTAACAATTCAATATATACACTGTGCAATGCATGATCTGTTTTTATACTTGTCTTTATAGAGATTGTAGCAACAAGTTGCTTTAAAAAGGAAAAAGAAAGTTATTTGCCATGTCTTCATATAGAATGTGAAAAAGCTGTCCCGAGCTTAATTTCCTTTAAAAGTGACACTGTATTTCTCTTTAAAAAGTTACAAGTGCAGGCAGGTTGTGGCAGTTCCAGTTTTATAATTCCATTTAATGAAATATTTCAAAATACTCCATTACAGTGCATCAAATTGTGCTGCTTCTGTGACCCTTATTTCCAACTGTTTCATAAATAAGTGCAAGACAGAGGGAGAAGGGAAGCCTGTCCACAGAGTTCCTCCAGTACAACCACATTCAATCCAGAGGTATTTTTGTTTATTTTATTCTAATTCTTTTCTCGTCAGGACTTCCTCCAGATGCTTTTGATGGACGGGTTAAATATAAAGTGTTGAAATAGGTGAGGCTTTTGTGGCAGTGTATCTGGTATCGGATGTAATATTTAATTTCATCAAACAGTGAGATTGCTGGGTGCATGCCTACATCGAACTCATCGTTCCCCTTCAAACACCATCAGAACTGCCTTTTTAGCATCCTTCATTAAATAAACAGCCGTCAGCCTTACTCTAAGAAAAAGAGTCCTTGGGCAGTTAGGGAGCGCCTCCGTGGAGACCCCACGCTTACTGGGCATCGCGCAGGGTAGGGGCACGGCCCCCCCACCAGCGGGGAGG